TTTAGTTTACTTGGTTCCACAGTCAACACTCTTGGTAATAGCAGCCAGGAAATCAGGAGATGAATTGCATTGGGAAAGTCAGCTGTGAGGGACATCTCAAGAGTACTGAAGAGCAACAGTGTTAGCTGAAGACTAAGGTGCACCTGATTCGGGCTATAGTTTTTGCAATTGCGTGCTATGCATCGGAGAGTTGGACAGTGAATAGGGATGATAAAAAGAGAATTGATGCCTTTGAGCTGTGGTGCTGGGGAAGAGTGTTGAGTATATCATGGACTGCTAGGAGAACAAACAGGTTTGTCCTGGAGAAGGTGAAGCTGGAATGCTCCTTGAACTCAAGGATTTGAAGCTTCGTCTGACATATTTTGGGCATGCTGCAAGGAGGGCCCTTGGAGAGGGACATGATGTTTGGCCGAGTGGAGGGGCGGCGAAGGAGAGGAAGACCTTTGATGAGACGGATCAATTCTGTGACTGGAATGGTGGAAATAAGTGCATTTGAGATGGCTAATTTGGCACAGGATATAACGGCGTTTAGAGCTCTTGTACATATGGTCGCTATGAGTTGCGACTTGATGGCACATAACCACAACAAATATACATAAAGTAATAATATATTATTCTAATATAATAATGGCTGCCAAGCCAAAGGTGGGTGATTTTTATCTGCGGCCTTCAGGCCTGATTTTAATTATTTTGGGTCAAATATTCTTCTAAGTTGTATAGCACCCATCTGTCCATTTGCTGTACAGAAGTAAATCGTAGTTGCTGTGATGCTGAACACTGTGACACTGATGTGTCAAATGCAATAATGGTTACCCATGGTGGACAGTGTTTGGTGGAGCTTCTTGATTAAAACAAGCTTGGAAGCAGGACTGGCATCCACTTCTGAAATAGCTTACCTCCAGAAACTCTATGAACTTAGATAACCCATGAAAGTTATACACGTGTCCCGGTCTTTCGTTCATAGGGGTTGCTATGAGGTGTCTATGACTCTACAGCACTTAACAATAACAACAATATAATAATGATCTACTATCACCCTATTTTTTCAAGTCCCCATTGAATCTTTCCTATTCCTTCACCCCCTCATCTACCCACTAACCTCTGATAATCTAGTGATTTTTCCCCTTTCCCCTTCTCTGCCTCTTTTCCTCTACCACTTCATCTTTATCTTGCTCAATTATCCTATTTTCGTAATAGTGATTTTTTTAAAGATTGCATTATTTAGTGTTGAGTTACCAATAAAGTGGTGTCCATTTTCCTTTTTTTGTTATGTTTTGATAAACATAATACAAGAGCCCATGGTAAAGGAGCCCTGGTGGGACTGTAGTTAAGCACCTCACTGCTAAACAAAAGGGAGGGGAGAGCTGAACCTTACCAGCCGCTCTGGGGAAGAAAGATATAGAGAGAGATCTGCTTCTATAAAGATTTCCTGGAAATCTTATGGGACTCTTCTGCTCTGCTCTATAGGGCTTCTCCGAGTCTAAATAAACTCAGTGGCTTTGGATTTGGTTTGTTTTCAGAAATGGTATCTGTACAGTGTGGTAAAAAGTTTAGAATAGTGTGACTTAAGTA